TGAATAAATTTTTTAATTTCAAGTAAATCATTTTCTAAGGAGACAACTTTTTTTATTTGTTTGTTTTAAATCATTTTCGAATTTATTTATTTTTATTAGGTTATTTATATTTTCTTTTTCGTACTTGTCAAGTCTCTCAGTGAACATTTTCAAGTTCACAGCTGTTAAAGACGCAAAGCTTTTCTCTTGTTTTTTCAAAAGCTTTTTGGTTTCATCTAAGTTTGCATTGCTTTGTTTTTCAAGTAAATCTGCAACAAATTTCTCAATACTTTCTAAATCCATATTATTATGTTAGTCAAATAAAAATTTTATTAAAGTTTTAATACTACTCTTGTTATTTACAAATTAAATCCACGCTAGAAACACACGTCCGTTCGCTTCAGATGTTGAGCATTAATGGTCTTTTATATAATGTTGTAAGTACAGTAAGCCCTACCCAGTGGGCACCGGACCAAAAAAAGATGTCTTTTGAACGTTCAAAAGTCATCTTTTCCCACTGGGTATTTTGGACTAAACTAGTTCCGAAAATTTAAAAAAAAAGCGCTTATGCTGCATCTGACTTATGCTGTACCTACCCTATGGGCATTTTTGTTTAAAAACCTAACGTTTTAAATGTCTTTTAAACGTCTTTTAAAGGTTCTTTACCTTTGAATGTTTAGAAGACGTTTAAAAGACATTTAAAACGTAACTTTTAAAACTAAAATGCTCGTGGGTGGTATCTCGATCATTTTTCAATTAAGTTCCGTTAACTTTAGGACAAAACTATAAAATGGCGAGAGATTATTATTATAAGTTGTTAATTTAAATAATAAAAACAAATTTAAATGTTTTTTAACTTGAAATAATTATGCTTTATGCATAATTTATTATGCTTAATGCCTTAAACTAATAAACTAATTTAATCACGGATATTTATTTGGAACATACTTTATTAGTTTTGTATTATGTTAACATAAAAAATCAAATTCGGAAGTATTTAGAGAGATGATCAACTAAATTGGACACCTTAGTGAAAAAACTAGCAATTTTTTATTACATTATATTTGCATTGAGGTCTTTAAATAATATTTAATTTTAACTCTATTCTACTTTTCAGCCCAGAGGGTTCAAGTGACACTAAACTTAATTTCAAGTGACACTAAATTTAATTTTATAGTCATATAGAATAAAAGTTGTGCGTAAAATATTACGTATTATAGTCTTAAAATGTTCGTAAAATATTACGTATTATAGTCTTAAAATGTTCGTAAAATATTACGTATTATAGTCTTAAAATGTTCAAGAAAATCTAAGAATTGATATGACTTGATCAATAGAACATTGTACTGTTACAAAAAGTGTAAAAATATTACATGCAAGCGAAACTCAATACTTTCTTCCAAATTGGTTAAAACAGCACACACTAGAACAATTTTATCACAGCGCATGCGTTGAGTAATTTACCTAATCCCTTAGGCTTTTCACTGAATATATTAGGAAGATTCTTTTTAGAATCTTGTAACAATTTTTCACTTATCCTATATTTCTTTCTATGTGAATCCTTATAGATGCAATTTTTTTGATTGATTCATTAGCTAATAGCTGGAGTTTGAAAAACTCCAGCTGTTAGTTAATGAATTAATCAAATGTTTTTCAAACTCCAGCTAAATAGCTGGAGTTTTAAAAGCATAAAACTACGATCAGCCAAACTTTGATCTCGAGGGTAGTGGTATTTTGATGACGCATATTTTGATTCTGTTACAATTTAAATGTCGGAAAAACAACTTTTTATAAAAAATTAATGGCACCAAGTGGTGTACAGGGAATAGATATCTTCAATGGGCAACGTTTTTTGCAACTATTATAATATTGTGCTCTTGTTAACAAAGGACCAGAGGCCTCAATAAACACTTTAAAACAGTCAATGATTGATGTAGTCCGAGGATAATTTGACTTGAAAATATTTTGTATGGTTTCAAAAATGCGCTTTCGAGCTTACACTCTAATTAATAATTTTATTTTTTCTAACATTACATCTATCAATTTCTAAAAATATTCATTAGCGGTTTTTTTACTTAAGGAGCTCAAATGGACCAGCATATTAAAACTCGTATTGCATTTCACTTTTACAATACTTTAAATTATTTGATCTTCCTTAATATTTCGAGTCAGTCTATGATCACCATTATGTCCTCCTATACAAAGATAATCGATTAGAATTGCTAAAACGTTAAACTTTAACCGGGTCAACATCAAGCAATTTTCAGGATACTCCCGTAAAACTTAAAATAAATATGACACACAGACAACAGTTATTTTTTTCGTAATTTGTCTCTTTCTGATTGTAAATTATCCATTTCATGGTATTTTTACATGAAAATTATTTTTTATGGCATTATACTTTTTTGTTCATATTCACTGACAAGAAACTTCATGGTTATCGTAGGGCTGGTTGGTGAGGCTAAGGGCAGATAATTTTGTTCTATTATATTTTATACTTGAGGAGCATCCTGGTTCGTCGGTCATGTTATTGTGTATTATTTCCTTGATATTTTCAATTTGATTAGATCTTTCTGACTGAATATTACCTAAATTAAAGTGCATACTTTCTAGTTAACATATACTGATAAGAGATTTTATGGCTATTGTGGGGCTGGCTGGTAAGACTAAGGGCAGATGGTTTTGTTCGATCATAGTAAAACATTCTGCTTCTATTACCTGGAGGAGTACACAACAACTTACCTGAAGGAGTACATAACAATTGTCTTAAAAAAGAAAATAAATTATGCTAAACAGTTCATGCAAAAAAAAACCTATTAGAAATGAATTGTTTGTAACAAGCATAGTGATATTTTGATTTTGGTGAACAAAGTTTGTTTTTAAGAATATTCCCATCTTTATCTAAAGCAGTACGACTGATTGAATTGAGCCAAAGTTTACGACGTTCGGTATCATGCGGTAAAATGTAGTATTTCAGATCTGGATTTCTTTTGTTGTTGTTGTTTAAACATCCAAAAACACAATAATTCGTGGGTGTTTTAAAGAATTATTTTGTTATATCCACTGTTTGCGTTGCAGACAAAAATTTATATTCTCCCATACAAAATTGTAGTTGTTTTTGTCATAGATGATGATTATTTCCGACTGCAAGGATAATCTATAATTTTTGTATGAAAATGTATGACAATTTTTTATCGCCTTGTAGCGTCCCTATTATTTTTGCACCAGGGGCACGTATTACGTAGGGGCCCCCTCCTACCACCACCCTCTCAGCGGCCCTGGTTAATTGCTTACAGTGCAAAACTCATAGATTATCCTGACCATATTTTAAAAATCCGGAAATTTTTTTTCCTTGAATATCCGGAAAAAATCCGGAAAACTTTTTTGTAATATCCGGAAAAAATCCGGAAAACTTTATAGTAATATCGGGAAAAAATCCGAAATTTACAACAAGGAGGGAAGATGTTAACAAGGGGGGCGTGCTCTCCTCGATTTTTTTTATATTTCTTTAATATTACGTCAGTTTAACCGTATCTATGAATAAAAAGCTACATATTTTTTCATCAAAAAAAAAATAGTAATAATAAAATTTTAACAATAATAATATTAATAAGAAAAATAAGTCAAAGAAAAAGTAGAAAACTATATTTAAAAGCTGTTAAACAATGCGTAAACTTTTTTAGACATGCACTTATACATTTAAATACATAATGGATAATAAAATTTCGCTTCAATTCTCTAAAGATATACAAATAGATAAACGTTTAACGCGTTGTTACAGATCAGAGGCGCCACTATAACTGAAATCCCATGGGCGTTATTTATTTTAGCGTTTCTGTTTTTCTTTGTAGTAATTTTACAACATTTATCCGACACTTTTGCTTGCCAACTTCTTTCAGTAAACATTTTATTACCTGTTAACCACCAACTTTTGGAAAATATATATGAATTTTATATTAACTATTTTCGGAGCATACTTTAATCGCAAGGAAATAATAATAATAAAACACCAGACTTCTTATATACAAATAATAAGAAACCTTTAGTAATAAATATGTTTAAAAAAAGGAAATAAATTAATAAAAAGTAAAAAGGTATTGAATTGTTTTTCTGTAATCAGTTAATTTTCTACAATCAATTCTTCCACTCAGTGCTTAAAATGTTTTAAACTTAATTTACAATATAACGACTTCTTCTTTTATAAAAAAATCTACACGTTTCAAAATTAAAAAAAAAAAAAAAAAAGAATCCCTCTAAAAAACCCTATAAAAAAGTTTAGATAAAGTTTAAATAAAAATTTTAAATTTATTTTACATATGACAAACAAAGGGTGAGGTATTGTTAATGATTCACGTGCTTATTCATGTGGTTCAAAATTTAAAAGATTTAAAAAAGTTATTTTTTTTTTAATTGAAAGAAAATATAATTAATTTTGACAAGCGCTTTTTGAATGGAAAAGAAAACGTGCCTCAAAATGCGATTTATTTAAAAACCTAATAATAAACACTTCAAAGCAATTCGATTCAGTTGACGTTTAGTCAAAGTACATATGTTTAGATTACTTTAAAAGAATAAAATCATAATATATAACTCTTATTTGTATTTAATAACTTATTACTAACAAAATAATTAATCTTAGTCAGTAGTTTAAGTTTTTGTATAAGATTTAATCACCCTTTACGAAAACAAGTTGTACCGAACGACCATAATAATACACCACGGTATTACAGTAACTGTAAGATTAATAGAATTTTCTACAAGTTGAAAGTCATACCAAATATCTCATTCGTAGATCGAACTATACATTGTTTCACTACTCTCTAGAAATAGATTTTACTAATATTTAAAGGGTTTAAATTTAACGATATTTCTCCTATATGACGGAAATTAAAAACTGATTTTTCTCTCACAACCAAGGTTTAAAAAAACGCAGTGGTGAGGCGTACGCTTTTTAAAAATTTTTAAAACTTGATAATAGTCAAGATTGCATGCATGCGAGCTGCATGCTAACTTCTATATTGCAATCCTCCCGATTTTCAAGTCATTTATTTTAATATTTGAACAAAAAGAACCGAAGATTCACATTTTATACGATGAGCTAAAATCAGTGGTTAAATCTTTTTTAGGCTGCTTTATGAAGCTAGAACTAATTAAGGATGCATCGGGTAAAAAACTAACAATGCTTGACGTAACAGACTTCAAATTTCACAAAATTCAAAAAGATTGGTACATTGGCAAAAACACAAACACAGCTCTTCTCAAATTTAGGTTAGTAAATTTGTATTAACTAAAGCAAAACAGTAATAATATTATTAAATTCGATTTTTATATACGCGACTTTTGATATTAGCCTATTAAGATATTAAAAAATAATCAATAAACTTATGTTATTTTTGAAATATAATTTAACGAGAAAGGTAACGAAAATCTTTTAAATAATATAGACTTGATGATCCTATCCGAACAGAGTTTGAATCGCATGTTAAAAGAGCATTTCTCGATGGTGCAAAGTATATGCAAAAAAAGATTCCTTTATCGAACGAGTTATTAAAACTACTATCCTCTATTGATCCAACGTGTGTTGGAAGTACAGTTGCGTGTCGAATGACGCAGAAGCTGAAAGAATTTTTTCCTAACATTATAAAAATTGACGAAGCAGACTTATTTGACAGGGAAGTTGTTGCGTTTCATCTCGCTAAAGACTTACCAGCAGTAAAAGGAAAAAGACTTGATCAATGGTGGTCCGAGGTTTTTGTATTGAACCGATACAACTTACTTACCAAGGTTATTAAAGCTTGTTTGTCAATATTTACTGGACCTATGATAGAACAATCGTTCAGGTAACTTTTTTGATCTGAGAGCTTCAAGTTGTAATTTAAAAGTAACTATTAAACACTATTTATAATATTATTACTAATTTAATTAAATAATTATTATAACATAATTATATTATAGTAGTTCAGGTAAGTCAAAAACGAAGAAAAATTTCTTTAGACTATTTATTTCTTTTTCTTTACTAGTACCATGAATGATGTCATAAACAAGAAGACAACCCGTCTTAATGTAGAAACGTTTTCGGCAATTCAAACAGTTAAATTTGATTTGCGTTCAAAGAAAAGCAACTCTATAACTCAATACCATCGTCAAAACTTTTTAAAGTCGCCAATTAATAAGAAATTATGCGAAAAAATGATACTTTCGAAAAGTGTATACGAAAAGAGACTTGCAATGGTACGACTGGACAGAAAACGAAATAACGATGCAATAAATTTTGAACCACCGACAAACAAACTGAGAAAAGTTTCAGTCCATAAGCGAAGTGATTTACTTAAAAAAAAAGTTTTAAAACAATAAAAAAGAAATCTCTTTGCTAATAGCTAAAAGAGCTATTTAAAAAGCGTAAATTTACAATTTTTTTTAAAAAGAGAAGAGTTTGACACGCATCGCTAATTTTATTTTAAAAGTAGGAGATCATTCGCTCTTTTGCGCTGGAATTTTTATTAAAATTTATTAAAATGCTTATTAATTTTTGATTTACTCTGCGAGGGAAATCTTTTAATCTTTTTTGCTTTGTTTGTTAACTAAATATAGCGTTCCGTAATTTATGGACAACAAATTTACTGTTTATATATACTTGTTACTGTTTCATTTGATGACAGTAATAAACAGAAAAAAATTTATAAATTGTATTTTTGAAAACAATTTAATTATCCGGAAAATACAAAAAACTTAAAAAATATCCGGAATTCCGGAAATATTCGGAAAAAGATAATTCCTGAAAACTAACAAAATTTAGTATCCTATTTCTAAAAAAAATTTCAATACAATCTTAAGAATTTATACATAAACGAATCTACGAACAAGAACAAGCGACATTATTAGTATAATGTACGATACACACTACAGAATACAAAGATCATCTAGGTTATATTTAAAAAATCCGGAGAACATTTAAAAAAAAAAAAGAACCGGAAAAATCCGAAATTTATTTCCCACATATTAGTCTTAATTTAACTTTACACTAATAGCTTTCCTAATTTTTATGAAACTTTTTTTTTTTTTTTATGGGTAATGACTTGAAAAGTTCAAAATATATATTGCAAAATTTCTTATTTAAACTTGGATATATGAAAGACTTTTTGGAAATCCGGAAAAACTAAACGTTGAAAAAATATCCGGAATTCTGGAAATATCTGGAAAAAAGATAATCTCTAGAATATAGAAGCCACGCTTAGAAAAAATAGACTTTTGAACAACTTTGGTTTTTTAAATAAATATTAGGTTAAACCTTAATTTTATGAATATCGAGTTTAAATTAAAAAAAAAAATTAAATTACAAGAATATATTTTATTCAATAATATAAATCAACATTAATAAAATTACGCCTAATGCATAAGTTTACAATGCGTTAAAATAATTATAATAAAAAATTAAAAAAAAATTTCTTAAATGCTAAATAGTATTATGAAACAAAAATTCTACTTATAACTGAAAGAATTATATATTTAACATATTTTAAACATTTTACTTTATAACTACCAATAACTGACAATTAACTTTACATTTTTTTTAGTAGTTAAAACTTTGTTATACAACCAATCGTTAAACATTTTGTGGTTAATACAACCAATGAGATTAAAATTTACTTATGCTACTCTAATACTGTCTTAAAAAAAAGCATGTTTAAATATATATATATATATATATATATATATATATATATATATATATATATATATATATATATATATATATATATATATATATATATATATATATAGTTAAAAATTTTAAATAAAGTAAAAAATTTAAACAAAGAAACATTTTATTCATATCTATTTTGTTATAAAGTTGTAAATCCTAATTTTAATAAAAGTCTTTAAAAAGTATTAAATATTATTTTAAAAATAAAACAAACTTTATATACACAAAAAAAATAAAAATAAAATAAAAACTCACTAGAGCCATTATAACAAATTAACTATGATCTATAATGATCAGCAAACAACATGTATAATACATTTTTGTTTAACAAAAAAATAAGTTAAACTTATTTTTTTGTTAAACAAAAATGTATTATACATGTTTGCAATAATTTTTGCATGAACAACTAATGTGTTGCGTTTTTTAAAAATTATAGATATTTAAATATTTTGCTTAAGAAACAATCCGCGTATTATATTTAATGCAACCATTGAACCTGTTCATTTTTAAATCAGGATTTGCAGCACAAATTTTTGCATGAGCTGTTTCAAACTGTTGTTCACTAATTTTGATATTAATTATTTCAGTTAAAAGAATTTTATCTGTCATTAAGTCGTAAGGTAGATTGTGAAGTAAATTAGTTGTCTGAAATTCATCCTTTTCAAATAAATCATTTTGTGTTGAAAGAACTATTTTCATGATGGAAAGACCTGTTTTAAACAACACTTTGACTCCTTCACAAAAAAACATGTCCCAAATTCGTAAAACAGTTTGAAAGGGTAGGCAACGTGAAAAAATGCAAACCATCCACTCAACAATGTACATTAATGGGTCAATCTGGAGATCTTTCATGTGTTTTCCAACCTTAGGTAAATAATTATCAAGCAATAAACCAAAAAGCATCCCATCAAATTTCATTGCTTCCATTTTTTCCCCAAAATAGCCTGGTAAATAAGATCTTGTAATTGCAACTAGTACCCAAAATGTTTCACTTGGTGGCATATGCATCAATAGCACTGCAGCAATTGGTGCAAGAGCCTGACTGTAGCCAATTGATGAATCATACTCACTAAATGCTACCAATACTTTAAATAAATTATCTTGTCCTTGACTACCTGTTTCGTGAAACATACAATGGTGTCGAAATGTTCTGGGAATATCCTTTTGTATAATATCAACCCATTTAGAGTTTTTATTTCCAGACAGTTTTTCAAATAAACCAATATTTTTTTCTATTAAAATATTTGCTCCACTTAAAAACTGCCATGCTAATGAACGAACAGATTGTGGGATTCCTTTCTGGCATCTTCTTTTAATTTTCATAGGATGTTTCATTACATATCTGTCCCATGAATTAATCATCTCTAACCATTTCATTTCTCTTCTTTTTCCAACTGCACCCATTTGTGAAGAATTAGGTAATGAAGCAACTCTACTATAAAGCCGGTGTGAAACTATAAAACCATGCCCATCAACTTTAAGTAACGTGTTGCTATTATTAGATACATTCTCAATATTTTCATTCATGTTTATCTTGTATTATGGTATGAAACTACAAAAATAAAATTTTAAACATCATACAACATACATTATAAATATAAAAATAGTTAAAATCAAAAGATTTTTAAAATCATTAAAAACATATACATTTATCTTTTTTCAAATACTCATTGCACAAAAAAGTTATGCTTTAAACAGTTTTGTTATTATTTTTTTATAATCAATGACTTATTATACCTCTGCTGTGAAACTTTTATATGACTATTTTTGCGCATTTGAGTAATTATAGGCATTGTAGAAATATCAAAATAATACAAACCATCACTTAAGTTACTAAAATACTTAAGTTACTATTTTATTAAATAACTTATGCAAGAGTATAACAAACAATCATTTTATTCTATCATGCCATGATTATACTTACATTTTAAGTATAATTATGAGTATTATATTATGTATAGGGTATATAAACAATAATTTATTACATAAAGATAGAACATATATATATATATATATAAAGATAGAGCATATATAAAGATAGAACATATATTTAACAGAAAGTAAAAACAAACATATTAATAGATATAACCAATGTTGTTAAAGATTTATTAATTCAATGTAACAATGTCAACAGACTTTTTAATCAGATTTTATTTGTAAAAAAAGATAAATCTTGTGGTTGATAAATCTTGTGGTTATTGTGAAAAGAATAAGTAAAAACAATTTATGAAATTAATGCAGTGTGTAACTGATGCAATGTTTAATAGTCAATTCAAATTTAGATTATTGAATAAGCCTTATGTTACATATATAACATAATATAATATGTTACTTATTTTATTGGAAACAACTAAGAGCAAGAACTTAAATAAGTATATTTTCATCATCTACATTTTCTTTAAATATGATATATATTTAAATAACAATTTTATTAACATTATAGTTTATTAAAATATAATAATGGTTAAAGCATTAAGGTTACATTTAGGTTAAGAAGTTTGAAAAAAATGAAAAGAACTTGTGCATTTTGAAACAGATTATGTTAACTTACAAGGTAAATCTACGTAAATGTGCATATTTCAATAAATACGTAGAAATTCCTTTTTATTTTTGCTGCATTGTCTGTTAAAATAATAATCATCTTTAGTATTGCGGCATTTCACATGAAGTTTTTGTTTTGTTTTCTTTATATAGCGAGAAAAATATCTTAATCGTTGCTACAGTTGAGTGCCACATTGGGACAAAAAAGCCAATATTATTTTAGTGGTTATTTTTTAATTATAATTGTTAATAATACCAAGGGCGACTCTAGGAATAAAATAAGTGGGACAAATCCTTAATTCAGCCTAATGTTTTCTAAAAAAGAAAAAGAAAAGTCCCCAAAACTAATAACTGCCGACTGAAATATACTTAATGCTGAAACCTAAAAATCTAAATAAAAAGTAATTAAAAAAAATTACAACTAAAAATTATAAACAGATTTATTAACCAGTAACGAAATTACACAATCTTTCGCCCTGCCCCTAAAGATTTTTATTGGGGTCCTTTCCTAAAAAAACCCGTGCATTAATGAAGGAAAAAAAAGGTCCTAGAAACCTCCGCAGAACTCCCCCTAGTTACGCACTGTTGTCTGCGGTCTAGAATTTAGAATTCTGCGGTAACCACAACTTTTTTAATGAGAGACAAAATTGGCATTTTAGCTGTTAATAAGGGGCTTGAGGTTTTTAAAAATATTTTATTTAAAAAAGTTAATTTTATTTAATTTATTAAATGTAGTCTCGTAATGAAATGCCGCGCACACATATGATAGATACAGTCAGAGACGATTCCATGAATAAAATGAAGGGGGTGAATCCCTAAATAGTACCGACTGATGCGTAAGAAGAAAAAAAAAGGTCTGACATTTGACACTGAAATGTGTCAAATACCCGATTGAAAATCTCTTTCTTTCACCCTCTCCCCCCCCCCTCCCTATGAACCCTCTTCCCCCTCCCCCTTCCTCTTATGTAAAATTGCCTCTGGGTACAGTACAAGTAATATTAATAATTTACAATAACTTAGTATTGCTAACTTGCCAAATCGCAACCACTCTGTTGCCAATTGAGATTAAAAGTATTGTAAAATAAAGGTAAATAGTTGTTTATTGATTAACTATAAACTATCACTTGTAATTGTTTACCAAAATAAATATAACAACTTAGTTGACAATGCCAAAATGATAAATATATGCTATCAAACAAGACACCGATCATTTTTGCATTGTCAACTAAGTTGTTATATGTATTTTGGTCAGATTTTTTGTATAATACCATCAAGTTTTGTTGATTATTCGCTTCTCTCAAAACATCACTACATCGAACATCTATTAAATCCCTTTGGAATTTTCTGGTACTGTTTTAATTTCAACAGAGAATAGCACTGTCAACTATTTGATTTTCAGTATGTTTTCTAACATCTGCAAACTTTTTTGAAAATCTTGTTTTTAATTCAGCAATACAAATAACAAACTCTGCAGAGTTTTTAGGATTCAACTCACCGATAATAAAAAAATGACTGAAATTTCCAGTCCTTAACTGTTGCTCCCACTAAGTTCGTTTCAACAGAAAAGTTAGAACAAGGTTGTATAATTTTAAATGATTATTTCTTGGGAGTTCTTTGTTAAGTATGTAATATTGAGTCAAGTAACCTGAGACAGGTCTACAAGAAATGCTAATTTTTTAATGAACTTCTTTATTCTAGCTCTGTTAGATAACCTTTGTTTATACTTATGAAAAAAATCTTTAATCTTCTCTATCAAATCAAAAGTTCTTTTCATCATATTACCTATAAAAAGCCATCTCATCTAAGTATGAGAAAGCAAAACATTCAGAGTCATTTTTATTAAAAAAAAATGCCTCAAGTTACCTACTGTGTAAAGACCTTGACTTATTGCTGCTTATTTTTGTAACTACTAAAGACATTTTCCACATTCATAGCTATCGCTGTTAAGTTATGCAGATGAATATTACAATTCAGCCTAATTAATGACAATTTGTTTCCTGCACTTTTGTTTTCCAGCCTCGAAACAACACCAATATTTCTTCCTATCTTTGAGATGTCACCATATATTGTAGTAAATCTGATGTCAAGTTGAATTTTTTTGATACTTTCTTAATGACCAGCAAATGGTTTTTTCCTACTGTTCTGTCTTGTATATGATAAATGTCGAATTGCTCTTCAAAAAAAAAATCTTTATCAATACAACTGAAAAGAATAGCCAACAAATTATATTAGTTGATTCATCAATAACTATTGAATAGTAATGAAATGCATTTATTTTTCAGCCAAAGACAAAGATGTTTGTTTTGAGGGTGAGACATTATTTAAAACTTTAAATTTTACAGGGAAAATGTTTTTGTTTTTTTTATTTTAGGTACTCCAAGAAGTCCTTACGGTCTTATCACAGAGCACTGCTTAAAAACATTTGAAAGGAAGTTCATGCCTCTTTTCTTACCAGTGTTATAAAATATGCCTCAGAGGTGGCGTTGAACCACGCAACTCTTGCTCCTGATTCAAGCGCACTAACCAATGCGCTACGGCTGCTCAAACTGAAGTTGTGTTCAAAACACTTTTTGAACGCAGTTTCAAGAGATTCCTTGATAATTTCCCCATCACCGAATTAATTTATTTATTTGCCTTTTAATAAAATTTACAATAAGAAAGATCATACATATATCATAAATGGCCGGAGCAAGAAGAAGATATATATTGTCTTATCGCCGAGCCCCGTTTACATTGTCGTCTTCATTTATTGTATCAAGTTAAAAATGAAAAGTTAAAAGTCTGCAGGTTGAAGATTATAAAGTAAAACACAATATATTACAAGTAGTAAATCGTATAATAAGATATTTTTTCTTTTAGTTATTTATTTTTCTTTTTTATAAGAAGAAAATAAGAAACAAATCAAGACAAAAATAAGTGAGTAATAATGACTTTTTTTAGTTTAATTATTTTAGGTACTTATTTTAAAAAAATTTAAAAAAACAAAGTTTTTTTCTAATAGAAATCGTTTAGATTCTCTTTTGAATTGTCTAAGGAAGAAGTTTAGAAGAGTTTTATTTTTAATAATATTTTTCAAAAAACTTTTCCGTATAAATCCACAGTCCACGGTATTGAATTTGAAATAAACTGAGTTTTAATTAAGATCTTGGAACAAAAAAATTATTAGTTAAAAACCTTGTGGGGTATTTAGGAGTAATTTCGGTGAAACATGAGTGAAATATATTAGGAGATAAATCATGTTTTGACATTAGAAGCATTTTGGTATGTGTCATGTTTATAAACGTTGAGTGCATTAAGTTCCATTAAAAGAGATTCAGCATTAATATTTCTGTTTATACCTAATATAATTCTACTTGCATGTTTTTGTTTGCAATGGATTTTTTTAAGCTTCTTATAATTGGCTCTTCCTTTTATTCTTAATCAAATCTTTTAATGAACATCCACAGCATTGACTGAAAATTGTTACTTTATATAACATACTATGGACTTTGCGATCTATTAATGTAAAATGAATAGAATGTCTGACTGAAATGGACTTTCCATTAGATGACTCAACACGTTTCAACAAAATTAGACATCTTATTTTTCAAATTGGTTTCTTCAATGACAAATAAATCCGTTGCTTCTTTTTCAAATTTAAATTTAAGAGGTCGACAATATGAAGTAGACAAATTTTTCTCCATATAAAAATTAGAGTTTCTCTAACTGCTATTTGGAATTAGTTGTAATTTAAAGTTAAAAAAAATGATTTTTTATTTCAAGTTGAGACTATCAACATACATTTTCTGATTGTATATGGCCCCACTATAGCTAGTGGGGCCATTAAAACTTAGTTTATAATAAAGAGATACCGGGTCACATATTTCTACCATACATAAAGTATCATTTTGAAAATTCTTTTTGCTCAATGGTTACATAAATTTTGCGGTTTAATTAGTAAAAGCTATCTTGTTAGGGTAACATAAAAGTTTTGATGATTGCATATTGTCAAATACAGCATATAACAGGTTGCATTATTCGCAATTGCAATATTTTTGTGTAGTAAAAATGTAGCCTTGATCATATTTTATCTAACATTAAAAATTTAAAAAGTAACTGACGGTTCTTTGAGTACTAAAATATATTAAACTTGTGACATTTTTTTGGAGATAAAATTACTGCTCAACGACAATTATGGATGCGAGGCCCTCCTTAGTTAGTGTTATTACCTGAATTTATGTAATTATATTAATTAAAATCTTACAGTGTTCCGTGACATCAAGAGGTTTGTAATTAAAGTGCGTTTATATTTGATAATTGTTGTTTATATGTTTGTACGATTTTGTATGTAATTGTTAATATGTTTATATGGTTAAAGTGAAATTGTAAATATGTTTATCTGGGTTGTAATGATAATATTTAAGGTATATGATTTAGTATAATTTGTGGTTATAATTTTGTAAGAGACAGGTTCTCATTGACTAAAGAAAAGAAAACATCTTGACCTAATGTTATATTTCTGCGAGAAAACTACAAGCCAACCAGGCAATGAATTCATGTATGAAATTATTCGATATGTTTGAAACATATAATGGAACTTCAGATGCTGCGGTGTGGATGCAAAAAATCAAAGTAATAAGTGAAATGCAGAACAAAAAGCTGGAGCTACTTTTTCCAATTCTTTTTACAAAAACTGAGTATTCGGTTTCTGACGCTTTAACCATTGAAGATAAGTAAGATGTAATGAAAGTTGAGCAAGTGCTGCTAGCAGCGTTCTTATTGAATGTTTACAGTACATATGAGCTTTTCACAAAACGGAAGTTACACAATGGAGAGAGAGAGTTAATGTGTTTTTGGCTGATTTGAAACGATTGGCGTATCTTACGAAATTTTCTGAAGAGACAGTACGTTTGGCATTTGTTGTAGGATTGCCCGAGTCTTTATCATCACAATTTCGAGAAACAAAAGACCGATTGAGATTATGTTACCCAAAGTAAGAGCTGTTTTGAATCACGTGAAGATAGGTGACAGTAATACTAGCTAACGAAAGTTAGCTATTTAACGCATCGAAAGATCTTCTTCTGAGACAAGTTCTTTTGCAAAGAACTTGTCTCAGAAGAAGATCTTTCGATGCGTTAAATGTGGTGACAAAAGAAATA